CTAAGGGAAACTAGGGAAGTACATGATACAATCATTCGAAATGTTTAGCCTATATTTCTTGAAGCAACTCTATGAGTTAAGAGAGGAGTGTAAAGAAGATACTTTGATAATTTATAGTGATATTACTGTCTTGTTTTTTTATTTTTTTCATGAGTTTCATGAAGTCATTTATTCTATGTCTAGCTAATTCTCTTATTTTGGATTGATGAAGTAAAATACATGTTAAGTACTAATGAAGATATTTATTCTATAAATATTAAATTATATTTTAATGTTATCTTGTTCTTAATTTAATACACATAGTGATTATATGTATAATTAAAATATAGTGTGATGTATAACCTTGATAGAAGAACGTAAGAACAACCAGCAATATTAAAATAGGATGTTTGCATACCTAGTCATAGGATGTAAAATATTATAGTTTCTTACGGTGATATTATAATTATAGGAGGTCAATAAATATTCTTTTCACCCCTACAAGCATGACAGAGATCTACAGATGTATATGATCTAAATCACATCTATAATTAAGAGTCTCATTATAAAAGATATGAAATTTACACATATCAATTCAAAACACTTTTATTAAATATTATATTCAATATTTTTATTATTTTATTCAGTGATAGAATCTATATAAATATCATTATTTTCTCAATAGGATAATTATTATAATTAGAGTAAACGATAGTAGTTTATTGCATGTAAGCATACTTTCTCATGGATTCGAAACTCTGCTCTATCACTTTATTACTTAATTTGGTACGTATACTTGTGTATATTAAGTGGAATTTTATTATTTTTATATCAAAAAAATCTAAGCATTATTTATGGGTGATAAAGCCATAGATTTTTATACAATTCAAAAGTTTACTCCACAGCCCCCATTAGTTAGGTAGTTGTCTTAGTATTTTCTAGAAGTTGCTCTAAAGACTTGCTCAGATAACTTTATCCATTTCATAAGCATCCTCTAATATCAATAAATCCAAAATCAAAATCTTAAAACCACAATAAACACTTCCTGTGGGGTCGGCTACATGAATCTTTTTTCTCTATTATGTCCTTTTAGGAGTCAAAATCTCATTTAAATCTAAAAAAGAAATGTCATTTCTAATATTTTTTAACAAGCCTTTGTAGGTGTACCTCTACCTTTCTTAACATAAGCTAAATCTAATACATCTATTTTCCTTACTGGGTCATTAGAACGCTTTTGTTTTATATGACCAAACCATCTAAGGTGACTCCCTAATGGGGGCAGTGGAGTAACTTATAGAATTGTGAAATGATTTAGGGCTCTATCAATCCCTAACAATATTTAGGTTTTCTTTGATATAAAAATTTACGAAAACCACACTTAATATACTCAAGTATTCATATCGAATCAAATAATATAATGATTGAGTAGAGTATCAGTCCCACTAGAAAGATATGCTCACGTGAAAATTGTATTACTATCTACTAAAATTTTAACAATTATTCTACTTGATAAAAACAGATGTTGTGAAGATTCAATCACTTAAATAAAATTAGATAAAGGTAATGAATACATTATATGTATATAATGTTTTGGATTGATGAATGTAATTAACATATTTTCCTAATAAATTTCTTTTAATTGTGCGTGATGCTATTCAAAATATATGCATTTCTAAATCTCTATAGAGTGTGTAGGAACAAAGGATGTCCATTGACTTCCTATAGATATATCATCTCCTTAAGAATTTTAGTACATTTTATACTCTAAGCCTAGGTATGACACATACTAATTCAATATTCCTAGCTATGCCTTCTTCTATCCGTCGAGTCCCCACATTACACCTAATTGTAACTGCACATACGGCCACTATGTGCATTAAATGAAGTTCTAATAATATTGAAAATAACTTTTTAATCATTTAAGGAATAAGGGAATTTATTAGTACTGCATATGATACTTACATCATCTATCCAAAATTAGAGAATTTAGCCAAATATGAAGTAGAATTGAAGCAAACTCATTTTTATTAATAGCATGATAGAAAGAAAATACAAGAGATATATATCAACATAAAAGCTCAATGGATCTCCTCTATACTCCTTCTTACATACAGAATTGCTTCCACAAATACAAGCCAAACATTCTAATGATGCTATCAAGTACTTTCCTAAATTTCCTTAGTTGTCACCTTAAGGGATTTTCATAGAAGCAATCTGAATTGTATTGAAATTATCTCAGTGAGTGAACTCCTTTATAAACATAACACAATGACTATTTATAGGAAAACACAAAAGAGGCATTTGACACTATGACACTAGAAATATTGGCACCATTGCGCCCAATAAATGAACTAACTGCTTTTCTTGTTTCACCGCGAAGCTTGCTGACATGAATCAGTTACTTAGTGAAAATTCACATAGCTTTGCTAATAGGTTGTGTCTTTAGGATGTTACAACTGCTATGCCACGGTGTTGCTAACTTTCGAATGTTGTAGCGCCGGAAGAGCTATTTGGGCAATGAGGCATTATAGAATGTAACATTACAATGCTGAACAACAGTGAACATGGTGCTGTAAAGCAGAACTTTTAAGGCAAAGGTGTTGCCCTACAGAGAAGTTGGCATTGAGATGTCGATATTCTAGTGCTCCAGCGATGTATTTGATGGCGCTGCGGTGTTATTTGTTCTGACGCCTTGTAGCTATATAAAACTTAGAATTTTATACATTTTCTATATTTTTCCTGCACAATGCAATTAAAATATTACATTTTCACTAGAAATATAACACATAAAATAATACATTATTTACACTTATCACTCTCTCTAATCTTATCTTCCACTAGAACTACTCTATCATTTTGACATGTATGCACATTTCGTATCATGTCTCTAAGAGTAGAGTATATAACTTCTGTCCTAATATAAATTCATTTAGAAAAAGTTCCTCCAAAATATAACTGAATTATCTTTGAGACATCCTGGAGGATTTTTTCTTCCCCTAATCAATTCGTCATTCTAAATGATCTGGATATTAAATAGACAAACTGTTATTGCATTATATCATATTAGCCTTTTTAATAAATGATTCAAAGAGAAAATTTTGAAAAAAATAAAAAACTTCTCGCAATTTGATTTAAAAGTTCTAGCTTTATCTTTTTCCAAAAATATTAATAATTAAAATTATGATACACAACATCATTTATTACCTTTAAACTTTAAGATGAATTGGCATAATGTGAAAAATAAAGTAGAATGTTGTCCTATGATTAGATTGGGGAATTTAAAAAATATTAGGAAAAATATTTTTGAGAATAAGGTTCAAGATATTAAAATATGCAAGAAAAATAAAAAATAAGAAGCATTATCATAAAAATTAGTTTAAATATAAAAGCTTAGAAAATTAGGCAATATATGGATAGGCCCGTAAAGAGTCTATGAAAGTAATATGTGATGCAAGCATGTTTAGCTTTTAAGGATTTATATAATATATTAGATATTAAGGATGACGAATGATTTATGTGTAAATTAGCCAAGCAAATATATAGGACAATTAAAGATTTAATTTAAGTGAAGTGCAATAAGGATGAAGATCAAAATGTGTTTTTTATTATATTAGGATATTCAACATATGTGGAAGAGATGATTTAATAAACCTTTTCAACGAAGATTTTGAGAATATAATTGACTTCAATAATCTTAGCAGCCTAAATTAAAATAGAGATTATTATTATTATTGTCATATCAATAAAACCGAAGTTAGAGCTTTTAAAGAAAATGAAGTGTGGAAAAATAATTTTTATTGTTATTGTCATATGCATAACTTGTTACTTATGTTCAAAGAAAAATTAATTTGACAAAACATTTTCCTATTTCAATTGGATTATGTAAATAATCAACTTTAAGCTCACATATTTTTAACTTTAGTCATGTATTTTCTTACCAGACATTTGCAAGAGGATGTACCATGTATATGCTTTTTGCTTGTGATATTCTTTTTATTGATAAGACTAGAGAGGGAGTTGAAAAAAAAAGAAAACTTAAATTATGATAGTCAAGCTCAGAGTCTAATGGCTTTTATTTGAATAGATATTCTAAGGAGATTGATTTTGGACGACCAAGTTATTATAAAAAGTATACTCAAATCTATTGCTTAAAGTGATGGTGAAACAGATAATGATATTCATTAAAAGAGAAACATAAATTTAAATTAAGTGATGTAGAGATGAGCATGCTCATTTTGATGAATGACTTTATATCTTAGAGATAGAACGTTAAATGAACACATAAAAAAAGTTAGAATAGCTCCAACAATAGATAAGATTATAGAGACTCTCCAAACAATTTGATCAAATAAAACGTTAACCTTCTGATGACTCGATTAGGAGATAAAATATTAATTTTGACCAATATTGTAAAAGATAGAGATAAAACTAAAAAAACTTCATTAGAAAGTATTAAAAATAATTTTAATTAAATTTAAATTTGACACTAAATGACTAAATTATCTAAAACAAATATGTGCTAATTACAGGAAAGAAAAACTTGAAGAAAAGCCATTATCAAAATCCCCATAATTTTTAGGAGCACCACCATAAAAGGATTCTTAATAAACTCATTCAACCAATACATTTTCAAAACCTTTTCTCACATTCACACTAAAATACATGATGACCACCATCTCCTTATAGTGCCCTCCTTCAATTAATATCTGTATTAAACTAAAAGATATATTTGAAATGTGTTCACTATTAAAACTTAAATACATAGCAAAATTTACTATATCTTTATCCTACTGAGCCACAGGCAATAATTAACCAATGGCTCAACTCTTGACAAGAAAATGAAGGCAACTCCCATGCAAGTTTGTTGGAACATCACAACGTGATCTTATAACTAAGGTTTCGTTTGGAATGACTTTCTTACTGCTTCTTAAAACAGTTTTTTATAATAAAAATATAATTTTTGTATTAAAAAACAGCTTTAAGAAGCGGTAAAAAAACTGTCCCAAACGGAGCCTAAAGCATGAGATAATACCCCCCTAGAGATTTTTCTTCTTCTTTTTTTTTCATATGTGCATTCGTAGGGATTTCTTTCACTATCATCTTGTGGGAAAAAAAACATTCTTTTAAAACATTTGATGTCTCACTAGTCAACATAACAGAAGGCATAACAACTCAAGCTTTCATTGCACGCGCTACAGCATTTTGGACAAATGGAAACCGATGAGCCCATCGATCATACCCTGCATATAACATAAGCCAAAGGGTTTTCCCTGATTGAATTGGATTTCTTCAAAATATCAAAAACTATGACATCTACAAGTTATCATATTAAATCATGTAAACTCGCAAATAGAAAAGAAGAAAGAACAAAAGAACCACAAACCTGCACGAACAATTTCATGGAGATCGCGGTGGTCATTCGACTTGTCCGTTGGCATCACCTGCTATAGGACACGTAAAGAAAACAAAGTCGTTATATTGTAATCGCACGCAAAGATGAGTAGCAGGAACAGAAGTGGGAAACTGGGCGAGGGCGAACCTGGCTGAAACTTTTGATGATCAGCTGAGATATGCTTTCAAGTGTACTATGGTTAAATTCTGGATGATTTAAGAGATTCTTCTCTGACATTAGATCAAACACCAGGGCACATATGCTTGAAGCCATCATGACAACAGATGGGTCGTTGCTGTTCTCTATGAACATAGTTAAAAAATATAGTTAGCAAAAGTCAGATGGCAACAAGGATCAGATTGATGCAGTAAAGTGCCTCCTTGAACTGAAAAGTGGGAAAAATGAGAGTTTTGGCAGTTTGATTGGTCGCCAAAAAGAGGATGTGAAAAGCGCAAGAAGTGATTGCTAGAAATTTTGTTATGGAGGACATTTATTAATAAAGAAGCATATTGTGTCAGATATATCAAGGGCACGCATTTGAGTGAAATAAGACTGACACTACCGAATACACCTACATGTTTAATTAAGAAAATAAAAAAAATTAATGAGTGGTCGTGTCCAACAAATTTTATTATAAAATTATATCACATAAATAACTTAAGTTAGGCCATCTCTTCATTTATTTTAAAATAAATTACTTAAATAATTTAATTGTAACTTAAAACTAATTTTATTTTTATTATTTTGCTATAATATTCTATAATTTTTAGGCATTATTTTTTTTTAATACAAAAATCACTTCTTTTTTTTTTACTTCAAGCTATAATATCATGCGGGTACTTCAATTGAGTTTAAGATATATTTCTTATTTTCTGAGCATTTGAAAAAAAACACGTCCAGCTTATTATTATTATTATTATTATTATTATTTTTATTATTATTATAGCAAATTTTAGGTTTATATGCTCATTTTAAATGTGTTGGTGTGTATATATATATATATATATATAATTTTTTTCATACTTGACACTTAACCTTACTAACAAATTGGGCTAGCTAGAGCAAAAGAACACGGCAAGTGAACCTATAAATATGAAGAGTACATGGAGGACAGATGAGAGAACAAGCAGTGAAAATGGCACGAACTCCAAAAATGCCACTTAACGCATTATTCATAAGGTGTATAGGGTTAAAGGAAAGGCTACACAAAAAAATAGAGAAATAATATATAATTTGGGAAGTACAAACTGACAGATATATAGCCTAAGCTGGAAGATACACACAGTCATTTGCCTTTGATGTGTCTTAGGACATCCCATACCTCAAGAGTATCCTGAGAGAGTCCTCATGGGAGAGTGCCATGAGTGAGTCAGCGAAAGCATGTCCCCTTAATGAATGGCGAGTCTCTCGGGGAAAGTAGCGAGTCTTATAGGCAAGTATTGCTATGAGTTGGGGACAAATATAGTTCATGGAGCCATGATAATTGGCTTCATAAGTATGTGTGCCTCTTTTGGCTTGGATTGGGGTCATCTGTGGAAAACGGATGGCCTAAGCTAGGAAAAACTATCGAGAGAACCGAATCCTCTTAAGGCGAGTGCCTCTTTGGGTGAAGGCTTGCTAAGGAAAGCACTAGTAATAAAAATGTCATTGGGGTAAAAGCCTACTGGTTGCTGACTTTGATCTGATGAATGCCCTTCAGGGCAAAACAAGTTTTAGTCAAGCACTCTTCCCAATCGGGCTCCTTGAGGATGAACTGTTTTAATACCTGCAAGTTATTATATCTGTGTGCATGTACAAAATGAACCACTTTTAGTTTAAAAAAATAATTGTCTACCATGTAAACACTGGTCTCATATTGAAATTTTTAAAAATCAATAATAATTTTCCTATTCAAAGAAAGATTTTTCCTCAGAAAATGAGTGCAAATTGACTTGGTGATTTCTAGTTGCATTGCTCAAGAAACTATGCCAAAATCGCAACTCTTGACCGAATTTTAATTGCAATATGGTTTGACAAGGAACCTATTTTGTCCAGTAAAAAATTATTGACCTGATTGTAAAATGTTGTCCTTAAACGTCTTCTCACGTATAAAAATAAACGAAGATCTTTCTCATATTAGGTAGTACTTAAAAGTATATTGGTTTGTTCACATGATTTCAAAGTTGAGGATAATGCTTCGAAGCGAGACAGCTCAACCAATGGCACTAGGTGCATTCGAAAACTTGGCCTTACTCAACAAAAACAACCAAATGGTATGATGGTATTGTCTTTGATGCTTTGTGATATGGATATCAAACTCTCCAAAATACATTGGCACTTACAAGTATTAGTTGAAAAACAAAATTTTCTAACGTAACACAAGCTGAACTGTGACTCTAGGAGGACGCCCTTCCCATTGGGACAAGCTCACAAGAATGAATGCCCTAGCAATAACTTACAACAACAACAACAACAACAAGCATTTATGCCACTATTTGGGGTCAGCTACATGAATCCATTTTCTCCATTGTGTTAAGAGTCAAATTCTCATTTAAACCTAATAAAGAAATGTCATTTCTAATATTTACTACGCAAGTCTTTTTAGGTCTACCTCAACCATTCTTAACATAAGTCAAATATAATATATCTACTTTTCTAATCGGGTCATTGGCCCTAGCAATAACTTAAAACAATTAAATTTCCCCCTATCGACAACTATTGTATAACTTGACTCAGTACATGATGGTTACGCAATAAAGAGTAAGAACCCAAGTTGATGCAAAATGACATTATTCTACAGAGTATAGAACAAAGTAGTTCTGTGAATAATGAATAGCGAGCAAGCATGACAGAATGGAATTCTTCATAAAGCCCATATCTTTATCATGCACATACAGCAAAGGCAAATTCAACGATCTAAAGAGCAGGTAAATCATACCTGCCCAGTAACATAGTTCTCGCAAAAGTAAGAGAAATTGAGACCCCTCTATCTGACTTCCAAGTTCCTTACTCTGAATCAAAATTCAAACTTATAAGTTGTCAAATCTGAGTAATACAAGATTTCACATGCAACAATAATAGCTAAATAGATATTGAAGTTACACTTAATAGAAGGTTCAAGATTGTATCGCATGCCAAGTATATGGTTCCAGTATTCTCAAAAGAAGCTCCGTTTTTTTCAAGCAACTTTACTAGGCAGTCCACAACCTGTCAGAACAATGGCAAGGAAACAAATTATGCCTTGGAAACCTTATATGATAAAAAACTTGACATTCATGCGAGGGATTATTTTTATTAAACCAGAAATTGAAACTGCTATGCTTTTGAAGCGCTGCATTCTATTAGAATCTCAATACTCAATTCACTTTATTTTTTTAGAATCTTGTCAGAGTGTAATTGCCGGAGGACCATGCATAAAAGAGAGTTCATTTCTTCAACCTATTAAAATTAACAGCATTTGCAAATAAAACTATAACAATTATATCAAATGTTAAAATTATGTCTGCGAGACTGATTTCACAATAGAAAAAATGACTCTTTTCATTATGTTTGCATTCTGCATGAGATGTGATCTTCCTCGTAGAAGTATATTAAAACAGTTAAAGTCCCAAGTCAACCTAAATTGCTCTAAGAAGACAGAAAAATGGAAAATCAATCATTTACAGCAATTTATAATGTAAACAAACCCCACCGATTTGTGCCCTCCAAATGAAGCCAGCTCTTTGCATCCATCAATCTCCATAGTTGTTTGGCACAGCATTGGAAGGAGGAAGCATATAGAGTAGAAAGGACTGCCATTGACAATAAAGTCAACAAAGTTATAATCTAGAGTAAATGAATAGTTATATATTAGATATAGCTGATCAAAATTCATTTGAAAGTGCTCATCGGGAACCTTGATTCATCTTCACCTTCAACAGAAAGGATGTATTGCAGAAGGTCTCGTGTCTTCTCCTTGCATGCAAAGGGAACCTCTGCAAGATAACTGTCATAAACGTGATCAATTAATTAAAAGGACAAAAGAAGACGAGATTTACCAAAGAATCTGTTAGAGCTAAAATTAATGCTTCCTTTAATGAGAAAAGATGGCCAACACCATAGATATAGTAAGTGAATAAAGTACTAGTACAACAGTATGGATATTCCTTGGGGCTTGAGTTTTATATGCATGTATCCGTAGATTGCCAACTTAGATGCTGAATATTTTAAAATTAAAAAAAAAAACATAGAAATCTTTTTAAACATAGAAACTGAATTTGAATCTTTTTTAATTTAAATGCACTATTTCTTTATATACTGGACTAAACTCCACATAACTCTTAATTACATGAACAAAAAGCTTATAATTAAATGATTTTCTATGAAAGAAATCATGCAAACGATGCATATGATGAGTTTGATTGATTTGAAATTTTCTAGAATTAGTTATGAGTTTATAAAATTTGATATTTATTAATTTTTTTATTTATTTCATTTAATGGTCCTTTTAATGATTTGAACCCAAATAAGTCCCAAACTCCTTGAAATCACCACCAAAGATAAAAAATGATCTATGGAGTGATCAACAAATGTTTGAGAATTTTTGGGAATTTTAATTATTTTTAATTAATTAAATTGTTTAAATATTAATTTTTTATTTAAATTAAATTATGGTTGAATTTGATGTCAAATTCAAGTGGTTTCATTTTCACTAATTAAGGATTAAATTATGGTCAGTTGGAGGTATTGTATGTATTTTTTGGAGTTAATCTCAATTTATTAAAATTTTTAGAAGTATAGAAGGTTAATTAAGGGCTTAAACCTAAGTAAATTAATTAAGAGGCCTAGTGACTTCTAAAATCAATGGGATAATTTCTATGAAAGTTTGATGTCACTATGTTTATTTGTTCAAAGTTTCAATTCAAGGGGATATGCACCCTAATTATTATAATTTTCTATATTCTCTATATAAATCTTTAATTATTGTCCTTAGCGGTGTCACGAACTTGTAGGGGATTAAATTGATGATTATAACCCTTGAACATCACACATATGAAAACACACAAACATAGCACAATCAAGTCCTTAAGTCTAAGAGATTTTAAACTAAGTGGTGTGTGTATCCTATACATGCAAGTACTAAAAAAAAGAAGCATGTAATTAAATTAAAGACTAGATTAGTGAACAAAATATAGTTGTTCACGAACCATCCCCCATTGATTCTATTCATGAAGTATCTTAACCTATGTTTGAAATCCCATGAGATCTCTCAATTTTAAAGCTTAAATATATATAATTTTAAATTAGATTTTAAAATATCTATATATTTCCAAACACATATATAAGGGTATAGGTTTTTAAAATAATATAATTAAAAATACTATTTAAAATAAATATAAAAAATTGAGTCAAGAGATCCTCTCATTTTTTAATCCTAAAAAAATTAAAATAATATAACACTTAATTTAATATTAACTAGTCAATTAAATAATTAAATAATGCAAACTAATTAACTTACATTAAATCACATAAACTAAAATTTAATTTTAAAATAAGAAAATAATTTAAATACATTTTTGAAAATATAAAATTAATTTTAAAATAAAATAAAATATTTTATCATATTTCATTCGGAACTTCAACACTATTGTATCTCCTATCACTGATTTCCTGAAGAAGGGTGATTTCAACTGAACCCCAATCGCCACCAGAGCTTTTGATGAGATCAAACAAAAGATAGTGGAAGCTTGAGACTTCCTGATTTCTCCAAAGTCTTCGAAGTGACTTACGATGCTTCGAGGGTCGGAATTGAAGGAGTCCTCTACCAGGAAGGTCACCCATTTGCTTACTTCAGTGAAAAGCTTAATGATATCCAGCAGCATTATTCCACTTATGACAAAGAGTTCTACGCCGCGATCCAATCTCTTCGTTATTGGCGACACTACTTGCTCCTGCAAGAGTTCGTCATTTTCTCGGATCACGAAGCTCTGTGTTATATCAACTCCCAAAAGAAGTTGAATGCACGCCATGATCAGTGGGTTGAGTTTCTTCAGGAGTATACATACACCCTTAGACATAAGGTGGGAGTTGAAAATAAGGCTGCGGATGCTCTCAGTCGTTGTATGATGACTACTACTGAGATGAGAGCAGAAGTCATGGGATTTAACCAAATAAAGAGGGATTATTTGGAATGCCCCGACTTCAACGAGACCTGCACTCTCTTGTCTACAGGCAGCATGCGCCTTGTGAATGATTTCCTATTGGAGGATGGATATCTCTTCAAAGGCCAGAGGCATTGTATTCCGAGCACCCCCCTTAGGGAATTTCTGGTCTGGGAACTCCACGGCGGGGGCCTCGCTGGGCACTTCAGACGGGACAATACTATCGAATCTGTGGAGTATCGCTTCTTTTGGCCCAGCCTGAAGAGAGATGTCGGCTGGTCAGTCAGTGTCACACCTACCAACTGGTCAAGCAACGTAAGCAGAACACGGGTCTTTACACTCCCCTACCTATCCCCAATTGTCCTTAGAAGGATGTTAGTATGGACTTTATCTTAGGCCTGCCCAAGACACTCCGTAGGCACGATGCCATTTATGTTGTAGTTGATCGGTTTTCCAAAATGGCACACTTCATTCCGTGCTTCAAAACATCTAATGCCTCTCACATTACGAAGTTATACTTCAATGAGGTCGTCTGTTTATATGGTTTACCCAAAACCATTGTATCGGATAGGGATGTGAAATTCACTAGATATTTTTGGAAAATCCTGTGGATGAAAATGGACACCAAACTGCAATTTTCCGCTGCCTTTCACCCACAGGCTGATGGTCAGACCGAGGTAGTTAATAGGAGTTTGGGTAATTTGTTGCGGTCTTTGGTTGGCAAGCACATTAGAGATTGGGATTCTATTTTGCCTACTGCTGAGTTTGCTTATAATAATTCTATTAACTGGACCACGAGTTTAAGTCCTTCTGAAATTGTATGCGGGTTCAAACCTAGACAACCGTTAGATCTGATACCCATGTGTTCTAGGTTTAGAATTTCTGAGTCTGCATCATCATTTGCATTATATTTGCATGAGCTTCATAAGGAAATTGCACAACAAATTGAAAGGAATAATAATGAATATAAACTACATGCAGATTTGAAACGACGCTTTAAAACTTTTGAGGTTGGTGACTCCGTGATGGTGCGGATTCGTCCGGAATGGTTCCTGCCAGGAACAGTTAAGAAGTTGCATGCCAAGAGTGCGGGACCTTTCAAAATACTTAAGAAAATTAATGATAATGCCTATGTAGTAGATCTACCTGCAGATTTCAATATAAATCCCTATTTTAACATAGAAGACTTAGTGGCATATGAAGGTCTTGATTTTAACCCATCAAATCTACTGATAAAACAGTCTTTTGTGAACCCACCCTGTGAGATCCCAAACCTATCTCCACTACCAAATATTCCTAAATTACCCATGGCAGAGCAGGTGGAGGCAATTCTGAGTGATGAGATCATATCCACAAGAGAAGGTGAGCGAAGGAGGTATTTAATCAGGTGGAAAGGAAAACCCGAGTCAGAGGATACGTGGCTAGATCGCGAGGAGTTGTAGTAGATTGACCCAGATGCACTAGAGATTTACGAGAGCACTAGAGATACTCGACGGAGTCGAGTTTTCTCCCACCCCGGGAGAATGATGGGGACATCAGCTCATGGAAGGTTTATCAGAGGCGTGGCCATCGATCTACGGCCACGATCGAGTCCTTATATTTCTTAGTTATTTATGTTATTTTCCTATTCATGTACTTTTCTATTTTCTTGTGTCATGTATTTGTTTTATTTATTTTTCCAGTTGTACACTTTTAGTAGGGAGTGTCGTATATAAGCCCGAAGGGCAAGATTGTCTTTTTTTTTTTCTTGAGTCTTTGTACTTGGCTATTTATAGCCTCATGTCTTATGTTTTGAGGTAATGAATGATTAAGAAATTTTTCTGCACTTGTGTTCTTGAAGCTTTTTGTGAGAGCTTGAGTGAGAGAGTTAGAGAGCTTGGTGGAGCCTAGGATAGCCCACCCGTAGTACCCAACAGTCACCACCGATGGCTCTTGGTTCTCCTCCCCCTTTTCTTTCCCTTCCACTCACCCCCATCGCCGGCAAACCCTGCACCTCACCCGAGCTCATCTTTTCCATCACAATCCTACGGCCAACCCCTCACCCGAACCCCCATGACGCCAGCCACCATCACATAACTGTCGGCCACCTTCCCCTCTTCCCTCTCCCATTGTGTTATCTTGCCTAATTTGGGTTGGTACAATTTGGGACAGATTTTTGAATTCAAATTCAGAGAATTTGAACTTAAAGATCTTTCCTAAATTACCAATGTTATTTTTGGAAAGTTTCCAAATTAAACCAATTTGAATTTAAAATCCAAAGGGGATTGAATTAAATAATTTCCTAATTCTAGAACTTAAATTAAGTAAGCATTAACACTTGATTGAATTCCTCTTTCCCCATCAATGCCGCTGGCCTCCCCCTTAGGTTTGAGATAGGAAATATTTCCTAAACCCAAATTCCTCCTTTGGGATAAATTCAAATTTCCAAATATCTTATTTAGCCGAAATTTCCAAAGGTCCCACAATTACTCAACTCTTTCCAAAATCAAATCATGCAAATTGGATACAAATTAAGATCCCACCTCCTCTACAAGCCGCCGGCCCCTTGCTCTTTCCCTTCCCTCTCTCTTCCCCAAATCTCCACTCTTTTTCTCATTAGCTCTCCACCTTTACAAAATCTGAAATTAATTTCAGAATTTTGTCTTGGTTCTCCTCCCTCTCATTAGCAAGAGAAACTTCTTTCTCTTTGCTCATCCTCAAGAACCCTACCAAGACGAAAGGAGATTTGCTTCCAATCTCCCATGAATGGTCGATCCTGAAGTTGACTACGACATCACCTACGACGAACATGGATTCGTGGATATTCTTCAATCCAACTACTTCGATGTCAATCCAAGAGTTGATC